AATGGGCCCACATCCTCACATGTCAACACTTGGCCAGGGTAGTTAATGTCTATCTGGATCCAGCATGAGGATGCCGTTCACCCCAGCCCCAGTTGGCCATTGTCATTGCTCAGCCCTGGCACCCATTTTGAGCTTGTGGTCCCTGCTTATGGTGTGAGAGTTCTTGGAAGTTCTTAACAAAACAGATGTCTTTGAAGACACCCTGGGAAAAATTGAGAGGACGAACTTGAGTAATTTGGTTGAGTTCATCACTTTTGAGTGTTTACCATGTGTGGCGTTGTGCTAGGCACCGCAGAGCATGTGATACATAGGATGAGTCTGTCTATTGTGTAACAGGAAAGACCAGGAATGTGAAGGTCTATTAAGTGGCTGTTTCAGAAACTCAGTCACCAGTGAGGACTTAGAATAGACAATGAGAACAGAGATGAAGGTGTGAATGCAAAACACGTGTCGAAAGAATTTCTGTGACAAATTAGCTACAGGGGATAAAGATGGAAGAATGTGAACTATAACTTCGTTCTGGTGGATATAATGAAAAGAAGGTGTGAGCAATAGAATTGGATTACTCAGTGCAGTAATGGTCCAAACCAGGTGAGAGAAGAAAATGAAAACTGGCCTGAGAAGGGATTACGCAGGCTACACTGTTGCTCTTGGCACACCTCCTCTAAGTAACAGCAGTGCTATCACCACCTGCTGTTCAGAAACTGGATTGCTATTTTGTTAACATAATAAAGAAAATGAAGTCTGGGTGGCTCGGTTGATTGAGCATCGTCCTATGCACCAAAAGGTTGCAGGTTCTATTCCCAAAAGGTTGCAGGTTCTATTCCCAGTCTGGGCATGTACCGAGGTTGTGGGTTGATCCCTGGTTGGGGCACACAGGAGAGGCAAATGATCAATGTTTCTCTAAAATCAATGAAAATATCCTTGGGTGAGAATTTTAAAAGAAGAAGAAGAAAGAAAGAAAATGAAGCAATCTTTATTTAGTCCTGCAAGGCCAAGTTGGAACTCTGCCTCCAAAGCTGTTTAAATATTATTAAATATTTGTTTAAATATCAAACTGTGAAGCAAGGCTTTGGTAGTGGACCAGGAATAAGTCACCCAGGAAACAGAAACAATCATCTACAGCTCCCTGGTGATTCAGGGTTTAGAGCCACACTGGGGTTCTTTAGTTCCCGAAGGTGAAAATGTAGGAATTTTCTGTGAAGAGTCACTGATTAAGGGTTACTAATAAGGACCTGGCAATTTAACAGTGGTCACTCTGCTGCTGAGAAATGTCCTACAAGTGTCCCCAGCTTACACTCATTTACATTCAGAAAGCCTCATATCAGGGAGGCACTAACAGTCTCACTAAAGCCATACACTCGCTAAGCAAAAATACAAATTATATTTACAGGAGGAAATTCTTACACTGTGGCTTCAGAAACAGAAAAAAGTCAACTGGATTATTACAAATGAGAGTTAAAGGTTTTGACTGAATTATATGCCTTGTTTTCTTTGTTTGCTTTTTGCTTGCTTTAGTCAATGGGAGCTTGACCACTCATGTTCTAGTGTATAAATTACCACAGTTTAGTTCTTAAAATCCATCATTCACAGTTGGCCTCTAGTCAAGTGTACTGAAGTTTTCCTTTCAAGGCCTGCATATGCTTGTATGTGCCCATCCCCAGACTACAACACAACACACTGGAGAGGGATGTGGAATTAATTTGCTCCCAGTGACAACAGGGATCAGCTTAGGGCTTATCTCCTGAATCCATTCAATGGTCACAATAAAATCACTTACCAGCCTCAGGAATGCTGGGTGGGATTCCCACTCAGAGTCTCACATAGAGAATTCTCTAGGGTGGGGCTTCATTATAAACAGGAGTAGCCAATTAGTCAGACATATTCCCTGAAACGCAGCTTGTGAAATCTTAACACAATGAGAAAAGACTATTTAATTACAAGTTATACATCTGTTGTTTGAACATGATTGAAGAGATGCCAAACCCCTTTAAAGGTTAGGACAGAATGAGCTGTAGACTAGGTAACAGGTGTGCCAGGTTCCCTACGCTCATGTTGTTCCTTTGTCTAACTAAAAGGCACAGTTCCCTGTCCTGGGGAAACTTTGTCTGAGGGTGTATCAGGAGTCAGGAGACCCAGGTTCCCAACCCAGGTAGTGCCAGGTAGGGCTGGTCCTTAACCATTCTTGGGCATGCTTTCTTCTTCAATGGATAAAGGATTGAACTGGATTGCTTCAACGATCCCTTCCTTTTCTAAAACTGTCATCCTCTAAATGAGCAGAAAGAGAAAATAGGTTCACAAGCAGGTACTCAAATGGGAATACTTGTTCTACTAACAGATTGATCAGAGCTGTGAATCACTGCAGCAAAGAATGACAAGTGTTTACAACCAGGCCTGCCCCTGGTGTCTCTTCCTCTTCTTATAAAGACACCAACCAGTCCTATTGGATTAGGGCTCCACCCTTATGTTCTCATTTAACATTAACTCCCTTTTTAGGCCTATCTCCAAACAGTCACATTCTGAGGTACTGGGGGTTAGGACTTCAACATACGAATTTTGATGGGGCACAATTTAGTCCATAGCACCAGTATTTGCCCTCCCAAAGATATAGGCATAGATAGCACCCCCACCCCACCTTGTGTTCTAAATGTCCTGTTTTTTACAAAGTTCTTTCCCCATCTTCCTGCCCCAACGTGGCACTTTTACAATGTAAATCACAGGGATGGCTGGCTGGACCTACCTTCCTTCTTCCTATTACCATCTACGTTTGTTGCATTACACAGACTTTTAAGGCTGGGAATTAAAAAGCAACTAATTGAGCCCTGGCTGGTTTGGCTCAGCGGTTAGAGCCTGCTGACCAGAGAGTCCCGGGTTTGGTTCCCGCTAAGGGCATGTACCTCAGTTGCAGTTTGTCCCCGGCCCCAGTTGGGGTCATGTGGGTGGCGGCCACTCGATGTGTCTCTCTCAGATGGATGTTTCTCTCTCTCTCTCTCTTCCTCCTTCTCTCCCTCCCGCACTCTATCTAAAGATGGATGCAAAAATTTCCTCGGGTGAGGATAAAAAGAAAAAAAGCAACTAATTGACTTCAGGCCTAGTCTGGGCAGCTTCTAACAATTTACCCTCACCTCTCCCATTTACCAAATCTTCAGGTCAAAGAGGAGTTATGTAGTAGGTGGCAGAGCAGGGAAAGGTGAAAGAGTAGAAATGTGCATCTCTGCCCAGAAATACTTCTTCATGGGTCTGTCCCCATTCACTGTAAGACATTTCCTGTGTTACAACATCTTATGGTAACAAGCTTAGACACAAGCAAGGTGGAGGAAACTGTTATGAAAAGACTCCTCCCTTTCATTTTCTCTGGCAGGACACCAGCCACAGACTCTTACACACAGACCCTTGAGCCCTAATTGACATTTCAGCTCCAGATGTGTTGTTTGCATATTTGTTCATCCAGTTTAAAATTTTTTTTAAAGCCCAAATGTTAAATAATTGCTTCTCAAACCACCAGCTCTCTTCTTGATGAACTTTGGTTTTTCAGATAAGTGGTTCTCCAATCCACTTATTCATTCAAAAAATATTTAGTGAGTGCATTCCATGTACCAGGATTGGAAATACAGTGGTGATGACCATGAGCTTGCAGTCCAGTGAGGGAGACAAACAAGTTCTAATACATGGTCCTTATTTCACCTCTTGTGACAGGTGCTGGGCACCTTACATACAAGGTAAAGCATGATCCTCTCCACTGTACAATGAAGAAACAAAGGTGCAAAGAAGGTCAAAAAGCCAGGGTCATGCTGCTAGTCAAAGGAAGTGTCAAGACCAGAACCCATGTCACCTAACTCCATGAGCAGTGCCCTTTCCATCAAGGAATCCTAACTTGGAGCCCATGAACTTGGAGGTGGGTGGGGGGGACGACTTTTTACTAATCTCTAACTGAAATTCAACACTTTCTTTACACACACACACACACACACACACACACACACACATATATATAACAAACCACAGCAACTATTAGCAATACCTGTGATTTTGTCACCAAAAGAAATCACAGGTATTTTCTTATATTACAGGTGTTGCCTATATCTTGAAATATTATTTATGCTCATTACTACTTGAAAATTATGGTAGCTATTAGATCCACTGCTAGATCTTATTTAATGAATTACTTTTAAAGGAATATATTACTATATAGTAAATTATTTTAATATTTGACAAGTGTTTTGGAATTGGTTTCTTTTATAATACTGTGCCTTTTATTGTACACCTTTAAGAGCACTGTCCCGAACTAGTCTTCCCAGAACTGTCAAAAGGGTACATGGCACACAGAAAATGGGTCAGCACCCTACATTACTGCAATGGGCAGCCCATACAAATCCAGGGGCTCTGCTCACCCCTGTGTCTTTGAGCAAAAAGCTAGGTTGGGATTTTTATAAACGAGAGACGTCAACAGGAAAGCAAAGCCGCAGTTCCTCCAGAAGACCCTTTCTTTCTCTCCTTTCCGCCTATTCAGTTCGGCATGTGCCCAAACGCTCTCCTCTGCCTGTGGCAGCCGCCTCAGGGGGCGCCCATCTGTCCCACGCACTGTGTGGGCGGGTAAATGTGTCCCCGCCGTGGGCAGACTGTTGACGTCAACCTCTGACCCCGAGGCTGGGCACCCACCGCGCCCGGGACGGTGCCGAGGGGCAGTCAACAAGACGGAGGCGACAGAAATTCCCGCCCGCCCACCGAGACGGGATTCTGCGGCTGTTACCCGCCCCCAGCAGCTCAACCCCTCGGTGCCGCCAAGGCCCGACACCCCAGAAGGAAGCAAGAGTCCCCAGACCCGGGTTCCCGACGGGGAAGCAAAGGGCCACGGTCAGCGGGTGGGAAGAAAAGTGTGAAGCGGCTGGAACGCGCGGCACAAGTCCGCGGAGCCCCAGCTGCGAGGGCAGAGTCGGACCCACAACCGGTCCCGGGAGCTTCTGTCCCCGCCGCCCCCGCCCCTGGCCGACGCCTCTTACCCAGCGGCGAGCGGAGCCTCCGGCCGCGGTGCTGGCGCAGCACAAGCTGCGGCTCCCGGCCAGGCTCCTGGCCGTGGTGGGTGCCCCGCCCGCCGGCCGGGTGGAGGCTGAAGGCGGGGAGAACGAGCCTGCCCCTGGAGAGGTCCTGAGAGGTCCGCCACTGCCCCGCCCGGCGCCACAGCCCGGGCACCAAGGCCAAGTGCAGGCTGCACCCGGGCTTTGTGAGCTCACAGAGGGCAGAGCAGAGACGCGGGTCCAGCCGGCCGGGCGCCACCCCGGGGCAGACTCGCCCCTACTCCCGGCACGCCCGGAGAGCCGCCCGCGCCCCGGCACCGGCGAGGGCAGGGGACCACTGTGGCTCGCCCCCGCCCGCCTGGTGGCAGCCGCTGAGTAACTGGGAGGGGCAAAGGGGCAAAGGTGGAGGCGGGGCTGTGGGTAGAGGCCCTGCTGGTTTGTGCCTAGTCCTGCCGTGAGTCCCGTGGTTCCCCGGACTGCTCCGGATCCGGTACTCATTGCACAGATATGACAACCGAGGCTCTGAGAGGCCCCATGACTTGCCTTGGTAAGTGCAGGGGTAAGGCTGGGGTCAGCTGCCTTCCAGCCACTGCCCTCCACACCGTGTTCAGTCCCACTTTCATGCCTGCACTTCCAATGGCATGCTCTTTTTTTTTTTTTTAATCCTCACCCCAGGACTTTTTTTTTTTTTCTGTTTTTTGTTCAGATAGAGAAGAGAGAGAAAGAGAGAAACATCGACGTGAAAGAGATACATCGCATGGTTGCCACCCACACGACCCAAACAGGGCCAGGGACACACTGCAACCGAGGTACGTGCCCTTAGCAGGAACCGAACCCGGGTCTCCTCTACTGGACCGCAGGTCAGGCGCTCCAACCGCTGAGCCAAACCAGCCAGGGCTCAATGGCATGCTCTTACCATGTGGGTGCAAAGTGTAAGTGGTTCTTCACAGTATCAGACCCAAACAGCCCCCCTTTAATAATACAGGGTGCCCCAAAAGTCTTACTGCAACTTTGGATGTGTTACTGGCTCCCCACACACACACACCCAAAAAAACCCTTGAAAGTATAAGTATTTACTTTCTTTTACACTTATTTTGTTTTGTGACTTTTGAATAATTTTTTTTAATTTTTGTTACAATCAACATTTTCTATTTTGAGTCAGAGGGACTAACCGCATCTATGATAAGATCACTATGAACACTATAGCTACAAATGCAGTCTGCAGACTTTTATTGGCATTGCCTCTGTTGCATGATTTTCTGAAATGGGGAGCAACTCTGGTAAAGAAGCTGTGAACAGAAAAGGGAACCCTCATTCACTGCTGGTGGGAATGTAAACTGGTGCAGCCACTATGGAAACCAGTATGGAAGTTCCTCAAAAAATTAAGAATAGAGTTACCATATGATACAGAAACCCCTCTTCTGGGTATCTACCCCACAAAGTTGAAAATATTTACTCACAAAGATATATGCATCCCTATGTTGATTGCGGCATTATTCACGGTGGCCAAGACATGTAAACAACCAAGTGTCCTTTGATAGGGGATTGGATAAAAAAGATGTGGTACATTCATAAAATGGAATACTATTCGGCCATAAGAAAAGACAAAATACTGCCATTTGCAACATGATAGATCTTGCAAATATCATGCTAAGCAAAATAAGTCAGAAAAAGTCAAGAATCATATGATTTCACTCATATGTGGAATATAAAACTGAAAGCAACAAATAAACAAAACAAAGAAAAACTCACAGACACAGACAACAGTATGGTGGTTACCAGAGAGAAAGGGGAGAGGGGTGTGGTAAAGGGAAAAGGGGGTCAAATATATGGTGACAGAAGGAGATTTGACTTTGGATGGTGGGCATACAGTGCAATATACAGATGATGTATCATAGAATTGCACACTTGAAATCTATGTAATTTTATTAACTACTATCACCCTAATAAATTTAATTTAAAAAAAATTTTTAATAAACTAGTAAAAAAAGTATTTGCTATTATGGTAGACAAAACAAAAGCTCTTAACAAAATAAGTATAATCTTCTCTGTTTTTCCAATAAATGAATTCCTGGAAATTTCACCCTATGTAAAATTGCATATTTGTAATTATCTCAGCTAGAACCCAATTTATTTTACAGAAAAAAAAAAAAGGTTTTGTGTGTTTGTTCATATTTGAATGTTGTAGCAAAAGGTGGGGACACCAGGAATCATGCAGGACTTATGACAATTGTGGTATAGCATTGTCCACACAGGCCAGGATGTGGGCATCCCTGGCTCCCACCCTCTAAATGCCAATAGATTATGTTCCAATCATCTTGACAAATAAAAATGCCCCGCCCCACATCCTATCACACAACCCTCTCCATCCCAGTTAAGAAGCCCTGGTTTGCCCAGCCAGTGTGGCTCAGTGGATTGAGCATTGTCCCATGGACTGAGAGGTCCCTAGTTCGATTTCCAGTCAGGGCACATGCCCAGGTTGCAAGCTAGATCCCCAGTAGGGGGCGTGCAGAAGGCAGCTGATTGATGTATCTCTCTCACATCAATTTTCTCTCTCTCCCTTCCTCTCTCTCTCTAAAAAAATCAATAAAAACATTTTTTTTCTTTTAAGAAGAAGCCCTGGTTTACAAGAGAAGACTGCAAAAAGGAGAGAGTCACAGGAGACATGCTGCTTGCTGGATGGTTTGAGGTTGGTGGGTGTGTAATCAGATTCCGTTAAGAAATGTGTCCTGAGCAGATCTCACATGCTGGGGGCTTCTACATGTATTCATTCTATTACCTCACATAAAACCCCTCCTTCTCCTTTGAGGAGCAGGGACTGCTACATCAGACAGCCAGGATGGGGGCTGAGAGTTTGCTCACTCACTCATGCAGTGTTCTTTCATCTGATGTTATTCCCTGAGTATCCTGCCTCCTATGCGTCAAGCAAGCCCCCTGTGCCTGCTGCCTGGTCATATACTGTTGACAAAATCAGACTCAGTTCCTACCCACGTGGGGCTTTGCAAAGTTGTTTGGGGAGATGGGAAACTAGGAGAAGCATCATTAAGGAAATAGTAGGAAGAAGATGTGATAGGAGGGGTTGGCATGAAGAGCAACACACCCCAATTCAACAACATTCTAATGAAAAGCAAGCCAGCAGAGCTCTGGGAAGATGCGCAAGGCTAGTGAGCAGGAAGGGCTCGCAACAGGAATTGGGTGAGAATAGGGAGTAAAACAGAGAAAGGGGCCCTCTGGAAAACAGGAAGGGTAGGCCTAGGAGGAAGAGCACGGTAAACAGGCCGTTGCTTCAGGCAAGCAACTTTAAATTGTACCCTCTGTTTTGCCAAATCAGCAAGCCCCATTCTCATCCCTTCCCTGTAGCAAACTCTTCCCTGGGTGAGTAAGTAGGTAGAGCAGCAGCTCATCCCTGGGCCGCAGCAAACCCTCCCTAACCCAGAGAGCAGCCCAGCCAAGGTGACACCAGTTTCTAAGGAGCTGCAGTGAGATTTGTGGAGAAGCTGGGAATGAGTTCCCTCTATGTCCTACTCAGGGACCAAACAGCACAGACATTGTTTATCCTGCCAGACCACCAAGCAGTCTCAGAAACTCAGAGGTGGGTAGGCAGACAGAGTATAATGATGGTGTATTGTGCCAGGTTTTTTAAAGGCAGCCCCACCATCTCTCAAATATGCTGTTTTCCTCACAGCTGTCCCACATATCAAATAACAAAAACGGCTATCAGGCTACAGAGTAGCTAGTTTCCTCATCTGTAACACAGAGCATCAAGATTTTTTTTAGACCAGAAGGTGGTGCGTATGTATATGGAGATGCTTCACAAACTACGAAGGCGCTCTCTCAATCAGGATTCTTGGTCGCAGGCAATAAACCAGCTCTGGGTAACTTACATAGAAAAGAGGCATTAAAGGCTCTCAGGGGTTCACAGACCCATCACAATGATGGAGTAATGATAGCAGGAAAAGTGAAAGAAATCAGGACAGCTCTGCAGAATCAAAACAAAGAAATCACAACACCACATCTTTTAGCAGGAACAGCCTGGCCACCGCAGTCCTCCCCCTGCCTCCACAAGTGACTCCAGGAGGAGTGACACAAATATAAAGGGAGGGAGAATTCAGGTGGAGTGTCCATTGACCAAATCTAAGCCAAAGGCCAGCATCAGGGAGAGAGCATCCTTGGCCCCTCTGACTTCCACCAGGATGATTGTGATGAGTATCCCTCCCAAATGGGGTAAAAGGTTGAATACTAGGCAGCCAAAACAAAAGGAAGATACCTGTTGCGTAAATATAAGAGCTTATTTCACATATTGTCTTCTACATACATAAGCAAGGCAGCATAATGGTGAAAACCCTCAGTCCCAGAGCAACAAAGAGCTCTGCTAAATGTGTGCGTGTGTGTGTGTGTGTGTGTGTGTGTGTGTACACATACTGAAGAGCGAGGGTGTGGCAGGCTCAGACTCTCCATCCAGAGGGGTCTCCGAGGATGCAGGAAAAATACTGAATCTGGAATCAAGTCTTTTTCAGAAACTTAGTCTCAAACTCAGTTTTGGGCAGTTCTTTTTGCCTAAATTTCCTCATCTATAAGAGATAAAATCTGTCCTCCTACCTCAAGGATATGCTGGAAGAATGAACAGGCTATACAACTCAGAATATGTGGGCCTGTGAAGACAAAATGTTATCTTTGTGTTGTACACTACCACTCTCAAAGAGAAAGTATGAATAGGCCTCAGTTAACTGCGTCAGTAAAATGAGTATTTTATACATACCTACCTCCTAGGATCCTTATGAAAGTTAAATGAGTTAATACAGATAAAGTTATTGGTACTATATGTGGCATTGAGTAAGTACTCAGTAAATGGTAGGTAATGTAAATTACTAAAATGACTATAGTATTATAGTTATTTTTGTTATCTAATATTCAGACAGCTGTTACACTAGATCCTGAGGAGAAAGAAGTTCCACATGCCTACAGACAAATGGGATGTATGAATACTGGGCCTGGTATATGAATAGTAGATTCAGTTTCTCTTTTTTTTTTTTTAATCCTCACCCAA